TAAACCAGGAATGGCACATTCAACATAAACCTCAACAAAGAAACTTCATATTCATGGACAGAAACTAAATCCGCCACGTTTCTATTACATTTCTTTCGCGGCAGACTGAACTTGTAAGTCCCTTTCAATTTCTATGACCCATTTGTCCTTATTACCTACAGATTATGGCTTCCCTCAGTATCTTCTGACGTTTGTTCTCATTTTCCACATGTAAAATCACGCACAATCCCTTCCAAAATCTTTCCTAATCACTATTTCTTCTATTTCTAATTCCCTAGTAACAGCTCTAGAAGATCGGGGAGAACAGATGCATAAACAGCATTTATCAGATAAAGCTCAACAAATTTCTCTCTTCCAACAACTGGTTGTCCTCAAGGAGTTCTCACATTTCATACTTTCAAGGGTTTATAAAGGATGGTGAGGAGTAGAGGAGAGCACAGACTTAAAAATATATTAAAATGTGTCAGAATAAATGTAAGACAGCTTTTTATTTTCCATAGGAAAAAGTTTATTTGTAAGTAGTTACAAGTATTTATGGAGGCCTGCTGTGCTAGACATTGTGAAAGGCAAACAATTCAAGACACAGATTCTGCTTTCGGGATGTGTATACTTTACTATGGAGCAGAACAGGAGATACACACCCCACATCCCCATATACACAGAGACGTAAGACTCCTGAGACCCAAAGGAAAAAGACAGTATGGTGAACTCGAGGGAGGATTTAAAAAGTCTTCAGCAAGGAGGCTGGGACTGGTAGGGAAAGGGCAATATTTATTTCTAAAATCAATGTTAGAAAAATATTTGTATTTTCAATAAATTTATTTTTCCACTGTTCAGATACCAGGTTTTTCCATGAAAAATGCTACATTATTTACCTGTCTCACCAGTTATCAAATGTGATATAAACAGTCACATACTGAACAAAGACTTGAAGCCAGTCAGTGGCATCACAGAAAAACAAATCCCCGTGGCTTTAATCATGGAATTATTCAAAGTTTTCTATTAATAAATCCAAGACTTTCAATTAAATATATAACATTGCTGAAATGAAGAAATATTTCCAGTATAAACTGGCTGGAACTGATAAATCAGTACTTTCTCCTCTTCAGATTTAGATACAAAATGATGATTGTTTTTCCGAGCTACAAGAAAAAGAAAGTGTTAATTTTTAAAAAGATTGGATGACAAAATTTTCAAAAGATTATATTTCTTCTTCTTGCAATCAGTATTAAGCAGGAAAATACCAACAAGAAAAGAAAGGCTTTACAAATTTCCCCCAAATAAAACAGCACCTGATTTACTGACACAGCAGCTACGGGGTGTCTGCCCCGCACCATATCCAACGTGGTGCTCGTCCCGCATTGGTTTAAATGCTAAGTGACTGTGTGCACTGAGACGATATACAGAGCCTGGCAGGGAAATACAGGCAGAGAATGGTCCTACCACTCAACAAGTCTGGCTTGGTGACTCAAGAACTGCATGATAAGAAGTGCTTGCAGAATATCTTTACTAGGATGCTGCAAGAGTAGGATCGAGAAATGAGTGAAACTGAGGCAGATACAGAGGAACTAGTAAAAACAAGGAGACACAGTAAGAAGTCTGCCACGGCTACAATTGGGATGTGGAGGGGTGAGGGCTCAGAATTCTTCCTAAAGGCAATTTTAGAAGGAGGGCACTGGAAGATAAAGACTAAATGGACCACTGTGAGATTAATATGCAGCTAACCTGGCTACACCACCGTCCTTCTCATTTACTCCCACACATACAACATGAAAATTCCTATCTGGATTAATACTGTACATGGGAGAATTTATTTTTTTTAATGTAGAATTTTTGTCAGGAAACCATTTACTCAACTGTGCGTAATTCTAAACTGCAGTGAATACAGTAGAAAGTATCTGACATCCCAATTAAAGCAGAAGGATTGATAAAAACTTAGAGTAAAATTTAGACATCTTCAAACAGCCACACTCATCCATCTTCACGTAACGTGGGTAGATTCTTGGAAACTGCTACTTAAACAAAATGATAGCAGGTCCCTGAACATCATTTCCTTCAATGCCACTGGTTTCGTTCCATGTTGTTTAAGTTTAAAGGTGCGGTTCTAACAATCTGTCAACCACAGTAAGTAAGAATTTACTGTACCCATATCACTCAACTAAAAAATAAAGCAACTACTACATAAAACACAACTAAATTCTCAATTTCACCACCAAATAAACCATATCATGAAAATAACTGTGGTTTTATAACCAAAAAGTAGGCAAAGCTTATTAATGAACTACAGGCAAGCAGTCTTAAAATCACAGACTGATGGGTATATATTCAATTTATATCATTGTCTTGAAAAAATAACAACTAATTTTCAGAGAATATTATTATTACAACATTATCCCTAAAAAAGAAGAGTAATGAGGGATAATCTAAATAAAAGTATCTAAGAAAGAAAGAAAAAAAAAAAGAACTCAACATTTTTTATCTTGGTGTTGAAGAATTCTGGCCACTCTATCATATAATTGTCACAAGGTCTGACCAGTCTATGAACTGGTCACTGTGCACTAATGCTGGCCGTACCGTACAATAGCTTGGTGAGAGTCACAAGCTTGGAGTATCAACATCTCACATGAGTTCGTGCCAAGGTGTGGCGCTATCTTGCCGACGGGTGTTCATCATTGATGTTATATGCTTTTGTATACTGTCTCACGAATGTCAGAGTTTAAATTAGAGCAACAAACAAACATTAAATTTCTTTTTAAATTTGGCAAGAGTGGTACAAATCAGGAACATGTTAGTCCAAGTTTATGGGGATAATGCCATGAAGAAAATAGCAGTGTCAAAATGGATTAAATATTTTTCTAAGGGGAGAAAAAGTGTCTCTGATGAAGAGAGATCAGGGTGGCCAGTAACAAGCAGAATTGATAAAAATATTGCAAAAATTCACTGAATTGTGACTGAGAAGCACAGCAGACCAAGTAAACACTGATAAAGAAACAGGAAAATCTTAACTGAAAATGTTGGCATGAAAAAGGTATGTGTAAAAATGGTCCTGAAGAATCTGATAAATGAACAAAAGCAAAGGAGAGTCAGTTTGCTAAGACCTTTTCATGAGGCCAGACAGTGTTTTGGGCGTGTTATCACTGGTGATGAAACCTGGGTATGCCAATACCACCCTGAAACGAAATGTCAAAGTGCACAATAGCAGTCAGCCAATTCTCCATGACCAAAAAGTTCCGTTGGTCCAAATCAAGAGTCAAAACAATGTCACTAACCTTTTTTGCTATCAGAGGGAGTTTCATTATGACTTTGTACCAACTGGAGAAACAGTTATTGCTGAAAAGGCTATGTGAAAAAGTTAGACAAAAACAACCTAAACTCATGGCTCTTGCATAACAATGTACCAGCTCGCACAGCACTGCCTGTGAGGGAGTTTTTAGACAGTAAACAAATAACTGTATTGGAACACCCTTCCTACTCCCTTGATCTGGCCCCCGTGACTTTTTTCTTTACTCACAGATAAAGAAAATACTGAAAGGAAGACATTTTGATGAAATTCAAGACCTCAAGGGTAATACAATGATAGCTCATTGGCCATTCCAAGTTCCAAAATTGCTCTGAAAGTTTGACTAGGTGCTGGCATTGTTGTGTAGCCTCCAAGGAGAGGACTCCAAAGGTGACTGTAGTGACATTCAGCAATGAGGTTTGTAGCACTTTTTCTGGGATGAGTTCATGAACTTAATTGTCACTTTTTAAAGATACGTGTACTATTAAATGAAATAAATGTCCTGGCTTTACTTGAATACTGAATATCTTGATTTCAGGGCCTTAACACTATTTAATATATAATATGTATACTAATTAAACCTACAGAACTTATAGAACATTCATAAAGGAAAAGAACAAGTAAAACTTCAGATGAAAGCAATTCCCTACAAAACCATGTTAGGGTGACAAAATTATGTACCCCATATTACCTTCACTAACAAAGAAGTCTGCTAAATAAAATGCAGTTTTCACAGAATTAGGTGCATGGGAAATGCCTTTTAATTCCTTCCACTCATAAGGTGCTTTCTCTGGATGCCACTGGACACCATATACTGGATACTTATATCCTGTATGAAGAACACAAATTTGTAAGTATTAGGAAAGGTTTAATATGATAATAAATATCATACCATATATCAAAGCAAAATTGTACATATATGTTCAAATACAAAATAATTCACAATGTGAAAATTCCCAATAACGTACTTCAACTGATTTGCAAGCTTTTACAATTTGTAATGTGCTTTGCTATTCTAGATAAGCACAGTAAAGTAAAACAGCTGAGTCTAAGAATCTTCCCCACCTCAACAGTCAGGTGTAGTGACTAAGTTTCTCCCCTGAGTGGTCTCTTCCTCTGCCTTTCGGTTCATGCTTTCATGCCCTCCCATGACTTATTCTTCACAGGAGAATGGACTATGGCAGCAATTCTGATGTCCTTCTACATATGCCAATGTGTCCCAGTCTGAACTGTGTCTGTCTCTCAGTCTAAGGAACGACTGATGACTTCATGATGTCAATTTTTCTAATAGATACTGTTCCTGAGGAATGGTGTCAATTTTTAAAATGTTTTCAAAACCTTAAAACTTGGTGTTAAAGATTTTAGGTAACATAATTCAATTATTTTTAGACCTCTTAATAGATGACATATGATATGATCCCTGGGATTTGCCTCAAAAAACAATCTGATCTGGAAAGAAAGTCAATGTAAAACGAGAAGAGCCACATACGTGTGGGCAGCTGTTGAAGCTGACAGAGAGGCACCCAGGGTCCAGAGGATTACTGTTCCCTGTTTCACATGAGCTTAAGGAATTCCACAATTTTTTAAAAACACATATCTGTGTAATATTTACCTTCTGAAAAATGTACATATTCATTCTTCTTCACATGTGCCTCTCCTCATTTTAATAAAAAGTATCTCCCCTTTATTATTTTTTGCTTTGGAATTGTAACCACAACTACTATCAGAAAGTACTCAGAGAAATGAAGAGAATTAGCTGAGTGAAAAGATATCTAGGGGAATGAGCACTGCCCACTCACATCCCATTAGACTCTCCACAAGAGAGCAGGCCGTGGAAAAAACATGTTACCTGAGTATGGCAGGGGTTCACGAGAGGTGAAACCTACCACAAGCAGCTCCCAGGGCTCTGCTCCCTCCCACACTACCTCCTGTGACTTTGCCCTTTCTCTGTAGGTCTAGGACTGTATGTCACACTACCAGCAAGTGACTAGGAAATCAACTGCTACACACAGTTAACCAAAAGGCAGATCTTCTAGTATTATTTGCCTGCAAGATATGAAAAACAGGGACTCTACCAAATGCAAACACTGTAACCTAGTTGTTTGTAGCCACACATTAATCTGAAAAAAAAAAAAAACAAGATATGAAAAGCATTATTAAGAATAAAAATGCCATAAATGATAAACCATAGTAAGAATTTATCTGATAAATTATGGAGAAAAAGAAAGATACATACAGATAAATAAGAGTTCAAAAAGTTCACAGAAAACATGTATTATGAAAAAGATATACAAGGATTTCCAAATTCTCTGCACCAAAATAAACTCATACTAACTTATTATATGTCTGAACAGGATCTAGCTTGAGGCACTAAGAAGAGTAAGATATTAGTTTGAAAAGATCCCCTATCGGAGCAATATGAATTTTGCTAAAAGCCAAGCAAGGAAAAAAAAGCAAATTACACTGAAGCTTGGGTGAAGAATGGTGAAATCGACACTTCACCAAAAGCTGATGGGGACAATGCCCCAAAGAAATCAGCAGTTTACAATGCGTTACTCATTTTAAGGATGAACAAGATGATATTAAAGATGAACCTCACAGCAGCAGACCATTCACATCAATTTTTGAGGGAAAAATTCATTTTGTGCATGTGCCATCACCACAGACATCTCACCTGGTACACAGTTCTGACTGAAAAATTAAAGTTGAATTATCTTTCCATTTGATGGATGCCAAAACCATTGCATCCAATTCAACTACAGAACAGAGCTTTCAAAAGAAATTTCAAACAAATGAGGTAAAGATCCTGAAGCATTTCTTCAAAGAAGTATAACAAGAAATAAAACATGGCTTTTCCAGTATGATTCTGAAGGTAAAAGATAACCAAACCAATAGCTACCAAGACGTGGACTCGGTCCAGTCAAAACAAAAGCCAAGGTCATGGCAACAGGTCTTTGGAGTGCTCAAGGCATTTTGCTTGATGACTTTCTAAAAGCCAAAGAATAGTAGCATCTGTACTGTTGAGTGTTTTATCTAAAGCTTCAGCAGAACACCACCCAGGAAAGCATCACCAGAGAGTTCTTCTCTACCACGACAATGTTCCTGCTCACTCCTCTCACCAAACAAGGGCAATTTTAAAAGAGTTTGATTGGAAATCATGAGGCATCCACCTTACAGTCCTGATGTGGCTCCTCTGACTTTTTTGATGTTGCTTCCTAATCTTAAAAAAAAAATCTTTAAAGGACATCTGTTTTTTCTTCAGGTAATAATGTAAAAATGACTACACTGGCATGGTTCAACTCTCAGGGCCCTCAGTTCTTCAGGGATGGACTGTATGGCTGGTTATCATGGCTTACATGTCTTCACCTTGACAGAGATTATCTTTTACACTGTTGTTGGGTTTTTCTATTTTTTAATAGTATGAACAATGTCATGGACATTTCTATGTACATGAGTTCCACTATGGTAATTTTTGAGTAATTTTAAACTGCTGAGTAATAGAAGTGAAAATTGTTCAATTTTATTAAGAAATCCCAAAATGGCAGCACCTATGGCTCAAAAGGGTAGGGCACAGGTTCCATATGCTGGAGGTGGCAGGTTCAAACACAGCCCTGGCCAAAAAGAAAAGAAATCCCAAAATGTTTTCCAATGTGGTTGTAGCCATTTATATTCAAGTATAAAAGTGCATGAGATCACCTGCTGTGTCACATTCTGGTAGCACCTGTTATCAGTAGACCTCTTAATTTTGATAGTCTGGTGGGAATAAAATGGTTTTTCACTTTGCATTCTATTGAACAACTCATCTGAGCAATACGTGTATATATAAGAATCAAATTTCTTTTACAAGGTACCTATTCAAATCTCTTATCTATTTTTTTTTCTTTGAGACCAGAGCCTCAAGTTAGCTGTTGCCCTGGGTAGAGTGCTGTGATGTCACAGCTCACAGCAACCTCAAACTCTTGGGCTTAAACGATTCTGTTGTCTCAGCCTCCCAAGTAGCTAGGACTACAGGCGCCTGCCACAATGCCTGGCTATTTTTGGTTGCAGTTGTCACTGTTGTTCAGCAGACCTGGGTCAGGTTTAAACCTGCCATCCTCGGTGTATGTAGCTGGTGCCATAACCACTGCTATGGGCGCTGAGCCCCTCTGTGCTATTTTTTTAAAAGAACACAACTTCTTAATTTGGCTGAATTTATCCATCTTTTCCTTTATGGTTTATATTTCAATTTTGTGTCCAAAACTCCTTACCTTACAGGAGATGATATTCTCCTTTATTTCCTTTAAAACTTTGTTATAGTTTTCCTTTCCACTTAGGTCTTTCATCTGCCCCAAATTTGTTTTCGTATATGGAAATAGAGTTTGTCTCTATCCCATTTGCTCCCCTTCCTTCCCGAGTTCTGGTTAGGAATGTTAGAACTTCTTACTCTATCCTTCAGGTTCCAACCTTTCTTTTAGCACATTTTGCATTTCTGTCTATATTGGATTATAAATATTTCCTTCAGATCTGTCTTATATACTAGTTCATTCATCTATGTCCCTATCTAACGTTCTGATTAATGCATGTGAGATTTTTATTTCAACTGTATTTTCATTTCTAATACCTAAATTGGGTTCTTTTTAAATTTGATTATTTCATGCTCATATCTTCAAGTGGCCCTATTCTTTAAAACTTATATTATATATCATAATTCTATTACCTAAGCAAATCTGCTTTGGATCTTTTATTTCTGCAAGTTCTCATTCATGGTACCTTGCTTCCTCGATCATTAGTTATCTCAATTGCTCATTTTCCTTCAAACCTCATATGTGGAAATTCTGGGAAGCCTCAGATGAACATGAGGTTCTCCGGAAGGAATTATCTGTATTTGTCATGCATATATGGGCATTACCAGTCTAAGACAATTTTGAACAAAATTCTTGATCTGAAATTTCTACCTTCCCATTTAGGACAATGTAGGCCACATTAGGAAAATGAGTCTTTCCTTGTGAATGCTCAAGACTCAGTCACCATCCCTGCCCTATACTCCATTAGTGCCAAGATTCAAGATGGGCAATTCTCCCTGCAGTTCGCAGGGCAGGATTCCAGGTATATTCTGAGTTCACCCTGACATTGTAGGTACCCCCTTTTCAGGTCCTGCTCCATCAGGACTGTCCATGGAGGGGGGTTCTGAGCTTTGTTGCAAGTTCTCCTGATTCAATAATAATGCTGGTTTAAATACTCTACGCAAATCGTGAAGTATCTTTACTTCTTGCCACTTTATTAATGTATTTAACGTATTTCTCTATCAACCACATTTTGTGTTCTTGTTTGGGGGAAGAGTCTGTCAAGGTACTTAATCTGCAAAATTGCTAAAAACAGAAGTTACTTTACTCATTTGTTTCTTTATGTCCTTCTCCCCTTACTCTTCTTCTTCACTCCATTTTAGAAAACACCCAGGTGAATTCTAATTGATTTGGAACATGCATAAATCATGTCTCATTTCCTGTCTCCAAAAATGTTCTAACTTCCATCCTCAGTCCCCAAAGTAACATGATTTTATTCCTAAGAAAAAACATATAAACCAAATTAATAAATATAAAATAAGTGAAATCAAGTATACATGCTGTAGAAATATATACCTTCCACTGTTGATATAAACTCAGTATTGCCATCTGTATTCGTAGTTAATACATTGAAAAACTTCTTTAACTTTTCATTCTTTGTAAAATTCTAGAGTATAAAAATAAAAGAAATGATTACTTCTGTAGTGATTCTAAATGTTGCTAATTTCATTATGTAATTAATCTGATACCTTCATGGAGAGGCTCCACTTGTGGAAATTTGCAGTCAGAGGTTCTACTGATAATGATATCAATAATTCAGTAGGAAATTTCCGGAACATTCTGCTGTGCAATGAACCTGAGACAATGTAAGCACAAAAGAAATAAACACAAAAAATAAAATTCCCTGAAGTCACGTATCTGCAGCAAAAGAGAAGTCCCCTGTAAGGAACTAGGACAAAACCATAGAGATTCTTTAGTCCTCTATATAAGTAGATAAAGATTTTTATAAGTTACCTCATCTTTGAATCCTCAGAATTGAATGCTACCAACTATTCCTGTTCTTATGGAGGATTTTGGAAGGAAAGCAGTAGTACTCATATGCAGAACTTACAGAATTCTTTATACATTTGGATTGTCTCTCCTAATTGTTACAAGAACATTAGGTCAGACTCCTTTGGTTGTGTTGCAAGATGACCAAGTAATAAGCAAAACACATCAGTTTCACAGAAGTATTCCAATCTAACACAAAATACGTTTAACATAAATTCAAATTTGCCCCAGACTTATGTAGTTTTCTTACAAAATTTTAACACGAGTAAGTAAAATTCTTCTGTTATGAGAATTAGCAATGCTATAGAATAAGCAGAGAATGTGCCAGAGAATTAGACAGCTCTGAAAAAAACAGGTTAAAAATTTTCAAATATTTGTTTTCCAGGAATGAATCTTTTCAAAGGTATTTGGAACTTAAAAGTTTTAAAATATCAATCATTTATAAGAGAACATGAACCATGCCAATGAAACCACATGCAGTGAGAATAAAATGGAGTCCTTCGGGCTGGCCTGAGATGACACAGCTGTCGGGTCAGTTTAGGTCCTCCGTGACTTGGCCTCATGTCCCTTTCTTGCTGTTTTTAAATTCAGGGTTAACCTAAAAGTGCATAATCTTGAGTTTAGAATAATTGACTTAGGAGATTAACCTTTGAATTGGAATGTTGTTTTGGGTCATTAGTAATGCTGATTATTGTTTATTATGGGTCATGGGTTATTCTGATTATTGTTTAAAATAAAGATTAATATGATTTTTACTTTGAACTTTTCTGTATAAAACTGTGATTTTACAAATGGAAAAAGAGAACAGTCTTAGAGGCTAGGCTCACTATTCTCCAGAACCGTCAGCCTTCTGACAAAGTTTGGTGAACCTATGCCCATCTGTGCATATTGGCTGACAGTGACAGGCGGCTGGACCATCTTTGTCTGATAACACCAAGAAACCTCTATTTAGCAAACAAATCAAAAAAGCAATATACAACAGAACCTCCATAGTTGACCACCTCCTTAAATTGAACTAATTGTCACAGACCAGGCATGTACCCATGTATGCATCAGTACAGTAAGTCTAGTTCCTTATGTTGACCAACTTGTTACAGTCCTGTGGATGGTCAACTTACAGAGGTTCTACTGCATCTTAGTGGTTAGTACTGAAGGGTCTGTAATCAGACACACAGATTTAAAGGAAAACAGAGAAAAAAAAAATCCTAAAGTGTTAAGCTCTGATGTCAGCTGTTCCAAACCAGGCCCCTCATTCTTCCTAATAGCTTCCATGCATGAGAACTCCAGTACCTTAAAATATTCCTGTTTTGTACAAACTGGATTTTCACAACACACAACAAAAGTAGTCTGACCTAATGTTCTTGCAATAATTAGGAGAGGCAATGGAATAAAGAACTTTCAAAAGTATGAAGAATTCTGTAAGTTGTACATATGAACTTTCCTTCCAAAATCTTCCATAAGAATACGAATAGTTGGGCAGTGCCTGTGGCTCAAAGGAGTAGGGCGCCAGCCCCATATGCTGGAGGTGGCCGGTTCAAACCTAGCCCTGGCCAAAAACTACAAAAAAAAAAAAAAAAAGAATAGGAATAGTTGGTAGCATTCAGTTCTGAGGATTCAAAGATCAAGTAACCTACAAAAATCATTATCTATTTATACAGAGTAGTATAATAAAGAATCTGTATAGGTTTTGTCCTGGTTCCTAACAGGGAACTTTTAAAACTCTTGGAATTTCCTGCATAGTCATAGTGTTTTGTTATGTAATGAGGTGATTCAAGGTGGGTCCCTGTATTATTTCAGGATGGGGACTAATAACAAGAAATCCTAACTTCAATATTAAAAGGCTGGAACTACGAGTGAGTCAGCCCAACATCCAAAGACAGAAGAGCGGCTGAACACTGAGTTCAATCACTGAACCAATGACTCGGTCAGTCATACTTTCCTAATAAAACTCTATAATAAACTCTGGATACCACAGGTCATTGGAGTTCCTGGTTGGTAGCAAATACAGCACTTTCCTGAGTTCTGTGAGTTATCTGTAGCAACAGGTAAGAAGTGTAGTGGCTCAGGGATGTGACCTGTGGCTGGCATCTTAAACAAACAGGGAGGTCTTGTTGAGGACCATGCCCTTTAACTCTCGGTGGTTAGTGTCAGAATTGCAGTATACTCTCTTGGAGTTATAATAGAATACACAGTCAAGGGGGAAATGTGGATACTGTAATAATGATAATAACAACTACTAACATGTATCAGAGTTTTGTTTAAAGTACCAAGCGTAGTGCCTGGAAAACATCATTTTACTTAATTCTCACTAGACTCTTTTGCATATAAGGAAATCGAAGCTGAGAGAGGTTAAATGATTCTTCGTGGCCAAAATGAGAAAGTTAGGACTCAAAATCAGGTCTAATATCAGACTCTTAATCCCATATAGTCTTGATATCACTAGAGGCAATGAGTTATCAAAATTCTGAAGTCATCTTCTTAAATGACTATGAGGGTGGTCACTTGCATCTTTAGCCTGCATAAATAATCTAAAAATTAATGGCATAAGCATTTTTTAATATTTGCTACTTACTACTCCTCAGTAAATGCTTCTAAAAGGACTGAAAAGAAGACTCTTACCTCCAGTGAAGTTCAGTGGCAGCTTGTTCTTAGTGGTATTTGTGAGAGTTAATAAATACTCTCTACTAACCAGAAATGAAAGCTCTTCAAATCCAAGGCACGTACCCCACACAGGGAAATAGTCTCCCTTATCAAAACTCTTTGAAGAGTAAGAAAAAGAGAAAATGAGGTTTATTCAAATTTTTCAAAAGAAAAATTATATATATTGTTTATCATTACCAGGTAGGCACCTTGAGTTATGCAAGGATTTCTAAAGAATTCTCCAGGACCCATAAATAAGCTATCACTTAATCCCTCTTCATACCCAGCTCCCATATAGGATGGAAAAGAGGAGCTATGGATGGATCTTGACCCAAAGAATATAAAAAGATATAGGTTATTTAGCCTACTATTAAAAATTTTTATTTATTTATTATTACTATAATTTTGAGACAGAGCCTCAAGCTGTCACCCTAGGTAGAGTGCTGTAGTATCACAGCTCACAGCAACCTCCAACTCTTGGGCTTAAGCGATTTTCTTGCCTCAGCCTAACTGGGACTACAGGCGCCCGCCACAGCGCCTGGCTATTTTTTATTTGTAGCTGTCATTGTTGTTTGGCAGGCCTGGGCTGGATTTGAACCCACCTGCTCTGGTGTATGTGGCTGGGGCCTTAGCCGCTTGAGCTACAGGTGCTGAGCCCATTACAAGTTTTTAAACAAGTATCTCAAATCCTAAAAATAGTTATTTAGGGAAATATTCAAGTGAAGGTTGGGAAGATATGCGAGCCAGCCAGATTCATTAAAAATTTTTTGTACAAGTTGAGGAGAGAAATAGTAAGGTTCTCAACAAAGGTGCAAAGGCAGGACCCATGTGGAAATTACAAAGCAGAATTCAGATGCTCTGCTTAGGAAATTGAACATAAAGTCTAAAAAGGGCAAACAGGATTTAATGAACTAGGAAGAAGAACAGATTTCAAGAGGCGATGAGAATTAATAACATGATAAGAAGAGGTCAGAGAAAGATACGAGAATTACTGAGCGACAAGAGGACACGGTTCACTAGTAACGAGCACCCCCATGCACAGCCAGCCAGAGGGCTCTGAAGGGTCTCCAGAAGCCCAGACAGTGAGCAGGAGCAGCCACTGGCTGTTCAAGGACAGGCGCCTCAAAGACTCAAGTGATAATGAAGTTAAAGGGCTCGCTGCGAAGGAAGCACGACCACATGCTTAACACAGTAATTATCCTCGCAGAAATGAACCGAACCCCTTCTGGACTAACAAGCAATAACTGATATTTACCTGTATGGCCAATTTATAAAATATATCAGCTACACGGGCATAATCTGAGCGCTGAATGTCAACACTTCCTCCAGGGAAAAGGATTCTGAAACAACATCAAATAAGGAACGTTTTGCCCCATAACCCCCCCTTTCTTACTTTTGAAAGAAAGTAAACAATCTTTTTATTTTAAAACAATTTTCTCCTTATTATACAATTAGAAAGCTAAGGCAAAAAATAAAATATTTACAGTCCCAGCCATGCAGAAATGACAGCAGTTAACAACCCTTTAGTGCATCTTCTTCTAAACCTTCTTCAATAAACAAAGTTTATTTGATGAAACAGAGTGTGAACAAATTAAAGGTAAATAAGCAAGGGAAGGGCAAGAGCACCCACCAAGGGCTAGAAATAAAACAAAGTTTCAGGTATAGCTAGGTTTAAATCAAGGTGATCAGTAATTCCAAATTAACTGTAGGGGCCATTATTTTAAGTAGGTTTTAGGTCACAAATAATTCTTTAAATTATATAAAACAAATTGGTCATCAAAAATGTATTTAAACTAGAAATAAATATAATTCTTTTTTGTGTGTGGGGGGGGTTTGGGGGGGTAGAGTGCCCTGGCATCATAGTTCACAACAACCTCAATCTCTTGGGCTCAAGTGATCCTCTTGCCTCAGCCTCACAGGACTTATAGGCACCTGGCACAACACCTGGGTAGATTTTCTATTTTTAGTAAAGATGGGGTCTCTCTCTTGCTCAAGCTGGTTGTGAACGGTTGAGCTCAAGTAATCCACCTGCCTCAGCCTCCCAGAGGCTGAGGATCACAGGAGTGAGCCATTATTCCTAGCCTAAGAATTTAATTCTTGATTAGCACCCTGGGATCACTTTGGAAATAAGCATAGTATTATAAATTTTTATAAAAGAACACAATTATAATTCCAGAAAAAGTCTTGGAAAAGAAGAAGGCAGTTATAAAAACATCTGAATTTCTTTTATACACTCATAACAGTAAAAATAGAATAAAAATGCATCATGTTTTCATAACAACTTTTAAAATTAACTTTCAGCTTAAAAACATTCTAATAGGTCTTGAAATAACTAAAAATATTCAAAGGGGGTTACAAAAACTGGATTAAACATTAAAATTCTGAAAATACTGAAATATGAATTTGGAATATGTGAAACATCACTTTTGAGGCTGTTGTTCATTCAAAAAATATATTCTACTTCTTCCATAGGCCAGGCTCAGTACCTGCCTAAATAAACAAAGATGTGTGGTTTCTGCTGTTAGGAAGGTCACAGTCTAGTAGGAAATATATAAATATCTGTGTGATAGAACATCTGCCACAAAACCATGCAGAAAACCCTATAAAGTGCTTCATGAAGACTCAGTAGCAGTTCTCTCTTTTCATTAACTCATTGTCTCAGTGGCTCACCCTTGTAATCCTAGCACTCTGGGAGGCTGAGGTGAGAGGACCCTTTGAGCTCAGGAGTTTGAGACCAGCCTGAGCAGGAGCAAGACCATGACTCTACTAAAAATTGAAAAACTAGCCAGGTGTCATGGTGGGTGCCTGTAGTCCCAGCTATTCTGAAAGCTGAGGCAAGAGGACCACTTGAACCAGAGAGGTTGAGGTTGCTGTGAGCTATGATGCCAGAGCACTCTAGCCTGGGCAATAGAATGAGACTCTGTCTCAAGCAACCAATCAATAAATGATGCCTCTATCCAAATTTGGTTATCTAACTTCAAAGTCCTTGGATACAGTAAAACTTCACTGTTCTTCCTAGATGCCAAACTTCTTTAACAAGGCTGTCTTTTCATCTCTGGGTTCTCCTACAAAATAGTACACGATCTAGTCATAACAGGGTGCCAATTAAAGTGGTTTTGAAGTTGCATTAAAGTAAAACTCATTTTCTCTGTGACACTCAGAAACAGTAAATAAGGCCCTTGGCTGACCCTCCTTAGAAGCCCTGCTTTCAGTGTCAGTGCAAGAGAGGGAAAGGTGGGCCTATGGGAGAGAGAACAGGTAGCAATGCAAGGAACAGGGCAGGGGATACAAACGGACTCTCCCGTCAAGTTAAGAACCACTGCTGGTTTCCATGAAGACACAATGAGCATCTGGACAAACTAGCTCCCAAAGTATTTATTTCTGACTATATTGCTATTTCAGATTCCTTTCCAAACAGGAATGCAATTGAGGAGAGGGTAGAAATGAATGAAGTGCCTTAAACAGTATATTTCTGAGGCTCTAACATTCTATTCTAGCCAGGACTTATTTATTTTTGTCTGTGTCAAAGTACCTTGCACATAGCATGTAACAGACATTGTAAATGTTTTACTAAATTGAATTGATTTTAGGGTAAATATTTACTAAGCCAAACTGAAATGAAGGCAAATAATTTTTTTTGAACAAAACTTTAAAAATAGTAATGAGTGAACATAGTTTTAAACAGTAAAAATACTAAATAACAAAGCTTTTATTAAAAAAGTTTTACAGAAAAAAAAAATCCCCTCCCACCCTACTCCCAGTTAGAAACAACTAACCATTAAAATGTGCTGTGCTGACTTGCTAGAAATATGCAACGCATATACAAGGTCAGACAGTTAAGTTTGCAAACTCATCCTAGCACAAGTGCTACACCACCCTTCGAAGCAATTTTGAAACTCTTTGGAATGGCCATCAGAGTTGTCATTATGTGAGATCTGACAATTAAGTTTGGGAACTGATGCTAGTAAAAGTGCTTTGAAAGGTAGGCACTGGCATCATACATGGCTTCCCAAGGGGAGCACTTCAAAGGTGACCATAGTGCTACTCAGCAATGAGGTATGGAGCACATTTTCTGGGATGAGTTCACGAACTTAATTATCAGACCTCATATTCTCACCTCTATCTTAAAAACAAAAACAAAAACAAATTGGCTCAGTGCCCATAGCTCAGTAACTACTAGAGCACCAGCCACATACACCAGAGCTGGCAGGTTTGAACCCGGCCAGGGCCTGCCAAACAAC